ATAAACAAGAAATTAAGATGGTAAGATGGAGATGGGATGGTAAAATGGCAATCGTTGTCTATTTGTCAGCTCCGATGCAAGATTTAGAAATATGGTTGCAACCCCCAGTATTAACCGTTATAGGTTTCAACCGACACTGCAAAAAAGTTGCCTCAATCTTGGTGTGCACTACGACGAAAGGATATATTTGGTGTGTACGACAACTTACTTAAAGGATATATTCATATATTACGTATTTACTCCAAACTAACAAATTAAACATTTTTGCCGTAAACTAGTATGTCTTTTTCTTTAAATTTTGAGGCAAAATATTTCTTTCTGCGTGTAAATTTATATATATATATATATATATATATATATATATATATATATATATATATATATATATATATATATATATCAGCTCATAGATAAAAGTTCATCTCATTTGGTGACAGCTAAAGACAGAATTATTACCATCTATGACGATTATGACATTTTGAAAACCTGCCTGCAGAGGTTTCTTTATATACAAAACAACGATGATGTAACCGAAAATTGACATAACGTCATGGAAAAGTTAATTCTCAACTGTGAAATTCATTTTTCTATGGCATGTTATTATCGCCAAAACAACAAACCTCTTAGCGGCTTGAGCGTCGCACGTTGACCGCTTCACGCTTCATAAAATATTTTTTTTTTTTCAATGTCAGACTTGAGAAATTAGTTAGTCTTGCATCCGCTCATTTGTTCTAAGTGTACTCGCAAAGCTAGGACGATATTTTATAGAATAATTCACCAAATCTACCAAAGTGGACAAAAATAACTTTTTTCGGGCCGAAGCGGATCCTGTTTATCTACAAAATGTACCCCCCCCCCCCCCCCCCAAACCAAAACAAATATTTCCATTTACATCTATATATATATAGATGTAAATATATAGTATATCTTCTTTTTTTTTTCTTGTTTGTTTGCAAAAATAAACATCGCATTACCAAACTCTCAATCTCCGCCCAAATCTAGCCCTACCGGTTCAAACCAGATGTCAACGTTTCAGAACTAACCGTTATCTTCTTTAGGAACTGTAAACGATTTTCTGAAATGTTTAATGGGAGAATGGCAGCCGATGGACACAGTCCAATAGGTGGTGCTGAATAGCGCCAATTACCGAAAATGGACCAAAACGGGTCCCATTTTCTCATTGAAATTTTCAGAGAAACAGCTCAAACTTTGGACTATAAGATAACGGTTAATTCTGAAACCTTCGCATTTGATTTGGACTGATAGTGCTGCTTTTGGGTGGAAAATGAACGATCGGCGATGCGTAGTTTATTTTTGCAGCAAGAAAACAAAAACATAAAACCCCAAAAAAACATGGCAATTTTTTTTTTTTTTTTTTGGGGGGGGGTGGGTGGGTAATTATTTTGTATATTGATTTTGTCTTTCTATAAGAAACAGAGTGTTTTCAAATACCGGGTGTCTCAAGTAAATGCCAGGCTCTTTAAATCGATCGCGAAATTCGATTTCTTAACCTATCGCGCTACGATTTCGTGCAGCGTTGCCCACAGGTACTGCATTTTTCTATAAAATTTTCAAAGCGCGAACTTCACCGAGGAAAAAGTAAAAAAATAAAAATTTTAACTTCTACGGAAACGTAGCGAACTCACCGGTCTTCAAACCATAGGGCGCCCTATTGATTGAAGACCGCTGGCTTCGCTGCGTTTCCATAGAAGTTAAGACTTTTTTCTTTTTTTACTTTTTCCTTAAGTAAGTTCACTCTTTGTAAATTTCATGGAAAAAAAAATGCACCACCTGTGGGCAACGCTGCACAAAATCGTACCGCGATAGGTTAAGAAACCGAATTTCGCGGTCGTTTTAAAGAGCCTGGCATTTACTTGAGACACCCGATATACTGCTCTTTATTTTATAAGTGTAACCATCAAAAGGTCATGAATAAACTCAAGAGTACCCGTATGTTTATTAAATTAATACCGACATAATAATAACAACTGACTATGTTTGGCAGTATGTCGACTCTCTTTGGATCAGGCATGGTATCGGCTAAAAGGTTTTTACTGCTCGCACTTAAAAAGTTACTACCGTATAATGATTATGATGCTGAAATAGCATTGTTCATGTTAACAAAATCTGCGTCGTGAGGCAATTTGAGTTGTTTACTTGAAAATCTCGAACCCAGAACCCTTCTTGCGTTTCCTGACTGCCCGGACTTAGCTGTCTCTATATAATGTCCACAATGAGCTAAACACGGCTGCATTAATTCCCAATTAAAGACTCCAAACTAAATTAAAAAAAAAAAGTTACGTCCAGCATTTAATTATAGACTAGTCTGATGCTGCCATTCAACGAATGAAGCGTTTTCTTCCTGGTTGGAGTTCCCAGCGGCTTTCTAAATCCAACCGCGTTCGCGCGCCGGATGAGCCCTAAGTTCGGTTAGGACAAAAGCCTCGCTCGCGGATCTTTGACCCGAGCACGTCTCGTCGTTCCTTTTGGGCTTCCTCCCTCTTCATCCTTCGCCAAGCACATTAACGTCGTGTGCCCGCACCACTCCATTAATCGCCGCGAAGAATAAATTTCCTTCCTGGTCCGACATTGCTGGCGGTCGTCTCTCGCCCCAATCAACCTTCTTCAATCCTCCTTTCAGGCATACTCAGTGCGGAGGACCCAATGAAAGTAGGTTAACTTCTCCTAAACAGTCGATCGCAATAGACCCTTTTCAAAAGGGCGCGCCCTCTAGTAGAAGCTGCGCCAATTATCAGAGTCATCCATTGTTTGGACGCGTGCTGCTCTGAGCACGTATTGAAAACACGATGACTCCGTCAGTGTTGGGCGTGAACTAGGCTTAGCCCGCATCGAAAACGAGTGCTGCGTCTGCGTTCGGTGAAGACTCGGATCCAGTCGCCCTTTTTGCCCAAGAAATGGCGATCGCCAATGTTGCTTGACAGACTCTTTGAAAAGGGTTCTATTAACAACGGACAGACTTTTCCGGGACGCCCTCACACGACCAAAGGAGCATTCTTTCCGGACCTGCTTGCTTGCTGCACGCAGTCTTGTACATACGACGTCGGTTTCCTTCCCTTGATCCAGACCGGCGCGACGACCGCCGACGCCATTGTTTTCCCACCCGAACGTCCAGGCGATGTATTTTTTGTGCACGCACACAAGGATGGCCTGCTTTCGCGTGTGTGCACAATGGGCTATTTTGGCGCGTCGCGCCTCCTGTCCGCGGGGACGGGACCGACGAGGAGGTCAACGTATTCCAAACGTCCGCCGTATGCATATTCAGCCCGAGATGTAGGCGGTGATGTAAGTGACGGCTTTGTCGGGGCCCTACCCCTGTATACGCGCGGGTCGGATAATCCCACGGTGGCTTGCTTGGGTCGGACGGTTCACCGCTCGCGATTGCTCGCCGACCCCGAGAGTCGCGGGTGCTTCGCTTCGGCAAGTTGAAAAGGGCGGGACCTTCCTTTGTTGCTCGCTTTTGTTTGTTTTGTGGTGGTATTTTTGTGTCCAGCTGTACATATCCTTCGGGAAGTCTTCACTTGTCCGATTGTTTGTAGGGGACGGAGTCGCCGTCACGGCCCGTTCGTTGGGCCACTCTTGATGGATGAAGATGAATCTTCGCAGTTCTTGGTTGGCCCCTGACGAAAACGAAGGCCCATCTCCAGCTGCTTTGATTGAGGCATTGGCTTTTGTACCGGAGTTTAGGGCATTATTTGCTACATGATTAGACGGCATCCGGTGGTTTGGAGGCTCCTCGACTGTGCCGAATGCTTACGATGGTTTTATGTGATAGATCCACCTTAATACCTTCACACCTAATCTTTTAGCCATTTTGAACGTGTAGTAACATTTCATTTTGCGACGACGATCAATAGGGTTTATTTACGCCGAATTGAAACATATCACCAATTTTTCGTGAATAAACCCAAAATGCTCGACTGTTATCTTTAATAAATAATGGTTTCTAAGCATTAGAATAGAATAAGCTCTGAATCATTTCTTGTCATTCCGCAGGGCTTCTAAGCTGCTTGTTTGATCGCAAGCAGTAACATAATTACGCACACCTTTATATAGTGCCAATGATGATTAATCAAATCAGTGTTGTAAGTTTTTGGCCTTCTCTCTGAACTGTCCAAAACTTAATTGGCCCATTCGGTTATCAATTAACTCACCAAAACGGAAACATGTTGCCTAACTTTCGAGAAAGGAAAATGAGAGGCTGCGTAAGTTTTCAACGTGGAAGTCGCGTGCTCGTACACAAAAAGGTTTCCATTGAGGTTTTCACTTTTGACACCTATGCCCAGTGACATACATCACATGCAATGCTCAGTACTATGCTGACACGAGAGCTCAAAAAATGCACGTCCAAAAGAAGACCTGCTTCCATTCTGTAAATGACGTAGGATAAAAATCTAAACATGTGCTTAGCATTTCATGTCGATTTGCGTGTAATCCACTGGCAGGAAAAAAAAAACACACACACGTATGTGGCGGGGGGGGGGAGGGGGGGGGGGGCGAGGCGGAAAAGAATAGTTAAAAAGCCCTATATTATTTTTTTTTTTCAGGTATGTCTTTTGTCAGCACTAACTATGTCGTATGTTTGTCAAATAAGTTAGTCCCGGTGAACCTATGGTGGCTCTGCTGTATATGAGAAATGTAGCTAGTGCAGTACCACCGCTAGCTAGCCTGAGGTTTGCAACGTGCGTCACGCAGCAGGGATACACAACCGCGTGCCGGCACAATGCTCGTCCAACTAAAAAAAATATATATACATATATAAAGGAGGACAGAAGTAGGGATTGATGCCAGTAACCTCGGGTTCTGCAGCGCGAGCTGTCGCTCTGCGTACTTCTAGCTGCGGTACCACACGGCCACCGATCCCCCCCAGAAATCAAACGAGATTGAAATCACCAAGATTATAGCATCAGCTTATGAGATGGTGAGATATTCCAGCGAAGCCGTCCGGGCCAACAGCGCCGAGAGTGGCGACGGGTACTTACCGACACAGTCCGTCTTCGCGTCATGCTGAGCGAGGAGGAGCACGCCACACAATCGCGCACTTTCGAAGGAAAAAACCGCAGGTCCCCCAAAAATCCACGAACGACCGCAACGACCAAGAGCCACCGGACTGAGCCTGCCATTGAGGAAGAGTTTGGGCTTTATAGGAGGACTACTCTCGCGGATGCCACCTCGCCCCCTCTCCACACTGAGGTCCGGCAGAGGAGCTCTCCCAGTGGCCGAAAACGAGAGCAAAATGAGGACGGGGCCCGAACGATCCTCCTCGTCATTGCCCCCCACCACCTCGCCGCAGACGCTCCCCTGCCCCTCGGGGCACGGGGCCTGGGTTAGCCCCCTCGCTCGCGTCAGGGGCTCGGAAGTGTTCCGAGGGGTAGGCGACTGTCCCCCTCCTCCACCTCTTTCGTCGAGAAGTGTTCGTTCCGTTATTCGGAACGGCTTTGAAATTTCTCTCGCGCCACGGTCAGGGTCACCAACCGAGCCGGTGAAGAAGGAAAGCTGGAAGGGGGTTCGGCGGAGGGGAGGGCGGGACGCTGCTGTGTTTTGACCCATATACGAAGAGGAAAGAGAGTTGAGAGGGGAGGCGTCTTTGTGCCCAGCAACCTTTCCTGGCGACTCTTTTTTTTTTCTTTTTTTTTGAAAAGGGGGGGGGGGGGGGGGGGGTCGGTGCGCGGGTGCACTGCTGTGTTTGCGCGCCGCGGACCAGGTAAGAAGAAACCAGTTGTCGAAGTTCTCGAACAGACGCGCCGCACAGCGCTGTCTCCGCATGTGACGGCGTTGACATCGCCGGCGGTGGTCGGCGGAGAAACGAGAGAGCGGGCCGACCTGTCCCTGAGTGCTCTGCAAACGAAATGAGCTCTCGCCTTTTTTCGGTGGCACTCGGGTGCTTCTGCGCGGTGGACGACCAGGGGAAGGGATCGGGTCAACACAGGCGACAGCCGCTTACTCAGGCTCTCTCTTTCAAACGCGCTCTCTGTGTTCTTGTATTAGTTTTTTTCTTTTTTTATATTATTGTTTTTCGGGAAGTGACGCTGACGAAAATGTGAAGTGAATTTTTCTTTTATAATTGGGCTATTACCATCCCAGCCGGGCACGAGCGTTCGATGGGAAATGGAAAGTGTCACGGGTTAGCCTTCTTTTTTTCGGTTTGTTCGAAGATATTGTGACATCGGGATTGATATTTAATGTTCTGTTTGCTGTGGTGTTAACTACTGCGTCCAAATAAAAAAGAAGGGTATTTGAAATGGCTCTATACAACCCAAACGAGCTTTAGTCAAGTTCTTTCCTCACTCATGTTTTCTAGTTGAACACGTCGCTTGAAAGGAATGGTTCATCTTTCCGTGTAATAGCAAGCCAGTAACTCAGTTCAATTTAAAACCGTTGTTTTACTAGGACAGTAGAGCAAATCTTGTAGAAAAGTAAAAAATAACTTTTCCAAATTGACAAAATTCACTTTCATGCTGACTGAAGTTTTAACGGCCTTTCTCTAATACTCTTCCTTCTCTGCCATCTCAAAAGGTATGTCAAGTCTGCGAATTACCGGAAAATGTAAAGCACAAGATATAAAGGAGACATTCTGGCATTCTGCGTATATCGGGGAAAAAATTAAATATATATATATATATATGCCTTGAGATTGCGCACTAGTGAGAGTGTAGATTGATTTGTGCTTCCGATCGAGAAAATATCGAAGCCATTAGCTTTTAAAACATAGAAACACTTGAGCTTCTTCAAGCATGTATCTACTACGACCAGGTTGAATTCTCGTACGTATTAGCACATTGTAATTAACTGTGCTACCTAGTTGGGATACTTCTGGGTCTTAAAACTGAGTTGCGCCCGTATATATGATATCCAGAAATCTCCCAATTTGCGAGGTTTACCTTAGAAAATTACACTAGTGCACACACGTGCCAAGATAAAAACGAGAACAGATGCGCCCTTGTATCAAGGTTGCCAAATCTGAAAAGAATATTAAGGAGTCTAGAATCACTTTCCTAGGTCACTGATGCGAATTCGAATGTCGTCTAGGAAGCACTGGTACTCAACACAGCCTTTTGGCGTAATTCACGAAAGATTTGATCGATTACATATAGTCGCCTCAATAATTGCGGTATGAAACGCATAAAAGTCGACGCTTACTTTATAGAAACTCAAGCCCCGCAGAATTAAGGAACACACTCCCCGGTTTCATTCCAATCTAATGGATTCTGTGCGAAAAAAAAAAGTATACGTTTCTTTGTTCGTTCATCGTTTCATAAACACTGCCGTTCCTCGTCTTCCCAATGTCACTACAACGCATACACTTCAAGGTCGAAGCGTTTCAAGAGCGCGAAGCGGTTTTTTCATCCTGCTTAGATTCGCATCAACCTTCTCACTCGAGGCGAGGGTCTGGTCGAGGGAAAAACGGGCTGCGACGACCGGTTTGAGACAATGTCCCGTTTTCTCCAGAGCATATTGATTTGCACTTCGCATACACCTTGTCGAAGCCGTTCGTTTCGTCGTCGGTATTGTACGCTCTAGAACGCCATAAAAAAAATATCGCAAGAGCTGTGTGGAGCTTAAAAAGCGGTTGTCTAGGCTTTGGAATTTTTCAGATGAAAGAATTCGATTGCCGGAACATTTTCACGCTCTGGTATTGCGTGTGTTGAGAGCGAAAATCACCCGCCAATCAACGGATGATAAGATACTTCAACCCCCCCCTGTGAACGACTGTAGTTAATGAAAGCTTAAGAAGCGCAATGCGTGACGAATGTCGAGCACGCTATTATCACTCCTTCATAGATCCTACGCAAGAGCTTTGCGTTGCAAGCGGTGTCTCATGCCGTCCCATTGAGCGCGGATCGAGCAAGAGCACATAGGCCCCGTAATTCGTAGCGTACAATCTGCGAAAAGTAACCGATAAAAGCCCCGAAGCGCGGATCAGGAAGAAGCGTGACAATGCCCTTCCACGTAACAAAACGGCAGCCTAGCTTCATAAAGTTAATCCCCGAAACCCCTGCTTATATCACTTTCCTCCCCCAGGTTTCTGATGGACGGCGTTGACGAGAAAAGTTAGCGATCACGTAATGAATGCTTACATTCAAATATATTTATCACGCGCAATACTCCTCAAAGGGGTCAACAGCGAGCCAGTCTAAAGGATCGTGTATGCATACGTGCTCTCAAACAAGTGTGCTCATTTACAAGCATAACGGCACTCCTTTTAAACTTTTACTGTCTAGATGGTATTCTCTTTTTATGATTTTATAATTTCGCCGCATGACGCAGCAGCATCACTTGACTACCTCCTTCCTTAGAGATCAGTGGGGATTGGCCTACCAAGGACCGGAAAGGAGATGCGTGCGCCTCTTTGAGAGTGTGTTTGCCAATATATGGGAAGCATATTCTTCTTCATATAAACTCTTCAGCAGTGTATATCAATCGCTCCTCCACAATGCTAATCTTTTTGTCGCCGGCTCATAGTGCTCAAGCATTTGAACAGTTGCTAAAAGGTGCATTATGCGTGTTTTTTTAGAGGTGCGTGCTCGATGTTCATCGAGGGAAACCAGTATCGGACAAAATGCTCGATAAAAGTATTTAAGTTAAGTTACTAAATACCTGCTTCATAAAGTATTTAAAATACTACTCAAGTTACTTTCACTGTAAAGTGTCTTGAGTAGAGTACAAATACTTAGTTATGTAATTCAGTTACTTTTGAAGATACTTCCGCATTGTGTAATTTGTATCGAAATCAGTGACAATGGCAATTATACAGCTCCGCAAATCTGGGTCTATTGGTCTATTAGAATGGTCTATTAGCACGCAACAACACAAGACGGAAAACGAAAAACAAAAGTATCGTAGGGCTATTCTATGTAGTCCAACTATACGGAGCAGGATATTGTCACGAATGACAAATGATGAGGCGGCGAATAACTGAAGATGCTAAAAGTTTAATGGGGCGAACTTGTGCCCAAAACAAAATAGACAAAGGCTAGCATCGCAGGTGCCGACGTCCGCGAAACAGCGGGATCGAGCGCTGAGGCGAGACTTTCTCCGGACCGCCACTCGGAGCACCTTTTGTATACCGCGTGGGTTTCTGGAACATTCGGCGTAGAACGTTCGGCGCGTAGAACATTCGTAACTCGATCAGATGACAAGGCTCTCGAGTTTACGAGAATGTCAAATTGAAATAATAAATAAAAGAGGAGTCCGCTTCCTGGTATCGAACCAGGAGCCTCCGCGCGAGAACCAAACGCGGTAACCATTCGGTCACGCGCTCGCTCGGCAACACGCGTGGCAATATCACTGACAGATGTTACAAAACATTTCTGGGACAACAAGAAAGAGGACGCTTTAGCTATTGGGGAGGAGATCAGACCGTGGCTTCCCAAGCGGTTAACTTCATAACTACATGGATGGGGACAATAAAAACAATGACTCAGCACTCGGCTGACTTGACCGAACGCGGCGTCAGCGTTCGGGTGGAGTTCGTGTTCTCCGGTGAGGGGGAGAAGGGGCTCTTTCGTTACCACTCCGGCCTGCATGAACAATGTAGCATGCATGGTGCCCAGCTCAGCACAAAAGCCCAAGTGGGTCAAGCTCGCATCCTCTGATGACTGCTTTCGGGAGAGATCCGGCGCTTAACGTCACTTCACTAATTGTTGGTATTTTTCCATTACACTGTGCCTCGCGCTCTACTAAAAAAATGACTTGAACATGCCCATAAGGCCTGTGGGCATGTGCACAGGCCTTGTGTTGGGTAAACACCGATGTGTGGGGTGACAAATGGGTCAGAGCGACATCGCTGATTATCACGTCCTGCGGCGTACCTTAGACGCATCGTTTAACTACAATCCACATTTCCTATATGGGGAGCTCACTATAAACGAACTTGGGATACGGATATGAGTGAATGGATAACAAAGAGAACCCACATAATAGCCACCACAGTGGTCTCACCTTCTTCAAGTAGGTTGAGTCCAGAAAGGCACTCAGCGTTGGGGGGCGCTTTGTTGCGATTTTGAGAGGTCATCCGGCTTTTAGTTCGTTTCCTGTCCTGTTCTCTGCTTATCAATGTTCGCTTACAGACAGTGTTCGCGAGAGTAATAAATGAGAGACTGACAACAAAGAAAAATAAACAAAAGGAAACCTCGAGGTATTGCTTTAGCAAAGTCAAATATACAAAAAGCAAAACAAGAATGCGTTTTTTTTTGTGTGTGTGTGTGTCCACTTTTGATTTTCTTCTATTTGTTATTGTTTTGACAATCAAGTCTGCATTGTTGTCGTAGGTCGTTTCCCGGTCTGCCTTAGGGAGGCATCTTTACTTCCGTAAAACCACACCTTTTGTTTGAGGATTTTTTTGGGGGAAAATGTAAGGAAACAAACGGCGCCTTTGGGTAGGCGAGGGGAAAACCTTTATTGTACGAATTTTGGGCTAAAATATGAGTCACAATCGGCAA